AACTAGCTGAAATATTAACTTCTGGGTAAGAAGTAATAGAGTAGCATTTATCTTTGTTACATGGCTTCAAGGGTTTTGGATCGCACATATGTAAGTATATACTGCCATCTCATGGCCAAAGCTTGTGTACCAACAATTTTGGCTTCCTAGTGGTTCCACTGAAATAGTACATTCATTCATTTTCTTGTCGGCTTAGTCCCTTTATTAATCCGGGGTCACCACAGCAGAATGAACCGCCAACTTATCCAACAAGTTTTTACGCAGCGGATGCCCTTCCAGCAGCAACCCTTCTCTGGGAAACATCCTCACACACATTCACACACACACACACTCATACATTACGGCCAATTTAGCCTACCCAATTCACCTGTACTGCATGTCTTTGGACTGTGGGGGAAACCAGAGCACCCGGAGGCAGGGAGAACCTGCAAACTCCAAGAGAAACACCAACTGAGCCGAGGTAGTTGCTCATAGCAAGAGGCGACAGCACTACCTACTGCGCCACTGCCTCGCATATAAATATACACATAGCCCTCGCTGTAGCTGACACGAACTTCTGTCGAGTGTCGAGTCCCATGAAGATACTCTAGATGGAAACTGTTGTTTTGAGTTTACTTTATGATTAACGCCTGCTGGTTCCCGCCTCTGAATGAGCGAGTTTTAGCTACTTCTACATTCAAGACTGTGTTCAGAAACAACACCCGCAAAGAAACTAGACACAGAGAAATATAAAAACCTACTGCCAGCTAGCGTTTCGGAAGTGTTATTGCAGAGCAACACAAACAGCATGCAGAAGTATAAATGCACGGATATGCAAAGGCATGCGCCGTGAGTGGGTCAGGCCAATCACTCAACGCAGAAGTATAAATCAGCCTTTACTCCTATTCATAAATCTTCTCCCATGGCCTCAAGGTATAGTGGCATCCACCGAACTTTCAGTAATGCCTGCAGAAGTTTCACACATTTTCACAGTTTTGTTGGGAAGCATGCAATCTCTGGTGCAATTTTATTCATTATTGATGTTAATGGCTTAATGAATAGGCTTATTCATTTGTCGCCGCCTACTGACGTAGAACTGTAACAAAATGCAAGATCATTCTTGTCTAATAAATGAAACGCCACACACCTTTATTTAGATAATATTGAGTGTATTTTAGAGCCAATATGATCACATATAGGCCCCAAAAAGTCCACTTACCTCCAGTCAGGAACCCAAATCCACAGGCGGGTAAATATGACGTCACCAGGAAACGATTTCAAAACAACAGCCTTTCTATCTGTAGCAACCACGCTGCTGTCTGCAGTGACCGTGCCTTTAACTGAACATCCCACAAAATGTCCGAGGGTAAACACACGCTGTGGTCTTCAGAGGAAATCAGCGTGCTGCTCGCGATATGGTCCTCCTCAGAGATCCAGGAGAAGCTGGAGAGGTCGAAGAAGAAGCAAATAGTGTACGACGAGATAAGCCAAGAAATGATGAACGGCGGCTTCAATCGCTCGTCCGAGCAAATCGTAAACAAGCTGAAAAAGCTTCGCAAGGAATATAGGGATCTGAAGATGAAACCAAGCAAACGCGGCCGTGGAGGGCACAACAAGAGAACATTCGACCACGGAGTTATGGAGTCGATTCTGGGAGACCGACCGTCCAGTCATTTCACCAGGGCCTTGAATTCGGCTACGGCCACTGTGGAAACAAACCCCGAGTCGCCCGTGTGCTCTGAGGATGAAATAGGTGAGTTCCCGCTATTTTTAGCCCACTTATCACATACACAATTTGTTTATGATCTTCGCATTTTATTGTTTTATATATAACAGGTGTACCTCAAATTTGTCCAACTAAATCCATAGTAACTAACTTAATCAGCAACTTCTCTGAATGAGAATATAAAGTAAACCATGTGAACGCTACCATGTTAACCATTTTGTCACTATATTTGTTTACCATGGTACTTCAAATATTCGGTTTGAAATTTCATGCAAGTATGACTTGAAAACAACATTAGCACTATTTATCCGACTGTAAACAATGTTGTATTTTGATAGTCATTTACGGTGGCTGCTTGCATGTTTTCACCATTTAGAATTTGCAAAGAATATTTTTGTGAAATTACATTATTAAGGAGAAAATCCAAAAGTGTGAATATAAAACCAACTTTACCTCAATCTGTTTTTTTACCCTGGTAACGCATACACAATTTGTGTAAGAGTTTTGCATTTTATTGTAATATAAAACAGGTGTACCTCAATATATTGTTCAACTAAAACCATAGTAACTAATCAGCAACTTCTCGGACCGATAAAATATAAAGTAAAAGATATGTACGCTATCAAGTTAGCCATTTTGTAACTGTATTTATACATTTTTGATAAGTAAAAAATGATAAATATGTACAAACACACACACACTATTATTGAGGCAAAGTCATTTTTCTATTTAAACATTCGTTAAGTGTCATCTTGTGACACGCTCGCTATATTGTTTACCATGGTAATTTGAAAATTTGGTCTGAAATCACATGCAAGTATGACTTGGAAAAAAAACAAACATCAGCACTATTTATTTGACTGTGAACAATGTTGTACTTGGATGGAAATCGGCTGCTAATATGATTTCACTATTTAGAATTTGCAAAGAATACTTTTCTGAAAATACATTAGGGACAAAGTACAAGTGTGTGAATATAAAACCAACTTTACCTCAATCTGTTTTTTTAACCCTGGTAACGCATACACATTTTGTGTAAGATTTTTGCATTTTATTGTTATATAAAACAGGTGTACCTCAATATTGTCCAACTAAAACCATAGTAAATAATCAGCAGGGCCAGACGGAATCTGTGGACGTTTTTTGCTATTTCTGCGGAGAATTTGTCAGATTCGTGAAGTGTTTTTATTATTATTATTATTATTTATTTTTTATTTTTTTTTAAATCACTTGACTCGCTAAGAAGAATACGTTTATTTTTTTTTTTACAGAAGAAATGCTATGTTAAATGTCATCTAATTAGTGCTTGTCAAATAACATGTCATTATTTACATCACTTTTACCACATCACAATACATCCCTGCAAGAATACCTATACAGTTAGCTAAAAATGTAAAAATTATTTTCTTTTATTTTTTTTGTAGGTAGTAAAGTACACGAGCACAAATCTGTACAACAATGGACTTCAAAAGAAACCAACACACTGCTCACCATATGGTCTTCCACCGAATTCCAGGAAAGATTAGAAAAGTCGAAAAGGCGGAAGAGAGTATATGAAGACATATGCCAGGAGATGGTAAATGCTGGATTTACCCGTACAACTGAGCAAATCGTTAACAAAATCAAAAAACTTAAAAAGGAGTTAAAGGACCAGAAGATTGAACCAGGTAAAAGCAGCATCCAACTGAACATTAAAACCGATGAGGATGACAACCATATGGACAATGACCTGGAAAACTTACCAGCCAATCAATTGTCTGAAGCGTTAAATTCAGCATCAGCCATGCTTGAGATAAAGGCCGAATCGCTTTCTTCTGCAGCTGATCTTGGTAAGGTTTTTTTTTTTTTTTCCTACACGTTTTCAATGTAAGCTGTCAAACTATTTCTTCACAATTTGGATGTTGCTAATTTTGTTGTAGCTGCATTCATATGTTTGGCAAGACTAGAATAGGCTGATTTATACTTCTGTGTCAAGCGCACGTATATAGCCAGGCTCGATCGCATACCCCTCACCATGGCCGACACTGGCGTTGCAACAATGCATAGCTCAAGCTCTGTGATTGGTCAGCTTGGTGGCGGTGACAGGTGTGGGCAGTGCTGAGAGTCAAGAGCCAGATGGAACAATGTTTTCAAGTGTCGAGTCTCCTGAAGGAGCTTCAGATGGAAACTTTAGTTTTGTGTTTACCTTATGATTAAAGTTATTGCACGTTCTCTGCTTCCCACCTCTGAATGAGCGAGTTTTAGCTACTTGTACATTAAAGTAGCATTCAGAAAAAAACTAACCACCCACACACAGAGGAACACAACCTACTTGCGCTGTGGGTCATGCTGATCACTTTACGCAGAAGTATAAATCAGCGTTTAGTCAATGCTTTACATGAAAGGTCTGAACGATATGACAAGTCTTTAATCGATCTTTAATCAATATATGTCACTATATAGTGTCATTTGTCTCCATTCAATTAATCAAGTTTATATTGACCACATGTAAATGACTATTACTTTCTTACATTTAAAAAAGAAAATCCACATGAACCAGAAGCTGCAACCTATATATATATATATATATATATATATATATATAATAAATAAATAAAAGCTATCAAATAAAATTATCAAAAAAAGAAATATCAAATAAATATGATTAAAGTATAAAACCCTTTCAAAAAGAAATTATAACAGGTGCAACATTAAAATAAAAATATTGCTAATAAAATTGCTTGTGAACATTGTACTTTCAAAATTCCAATTTTACAATGCTGTTATTCATGCTTCTGTCTGTGTCGCCGTAATGGCTTGCGTTTATAAATTCTGAAAATAAAGCATACAAAGCATAATGTGAAACGATAGACATTTTATTTTTTCCATACGATATTAAAGTCAACATTTTTAGCTCTCCTGTGATTTTATTTTTTCCTTCCTTTTTCTAATATTTCCCAAATTATGTTCCCAGATCTTCACTTTACATATAAAAACTATTTTAAGTTTTTATTTTTTTTTTTATTTCAATATTATTAGCTCCCTTAAGCAATATTTTTTTGATTGTCTACAGAAAAAAACACTTATACAATGATTAAATTGCACTTTAAGCGGAATACTAGCTTCTAGTAAAATATTATGTACTGTCATGGCCAAGATAAAATAAATTAATTATTAAAAATTAGTTTTTAAACTGTTATGTTTTGAAATGTTGAAAAAAAAATCTTTTTACGTTAAACAGAAATTTTGGGGAAAAAATATATAGGAAGGCTAATAATTCAAATGTATAATGTCATATTGCATAGCCCTAGTACATTTAGCTCTTTAATTAAATGTGCTGCTGTTATTATGTTGCTTGCAGATGATGAAGTGCTGAACCAACCTGAAACGTCCCTCAGTTCATCTCAGACGCTAATAAAAAAGTCTTTGGGATCAGGCAGAATAAGGAAGAACGATTCAAACCAGGAGCTGCTTGACTATTTACAGACTGCTGATGAACGGTTTATGGCGCACGCCAAAGAACTTAATACAGCCATTCTCAATAAAATGGACGAAGCTACCAATTCTATGCTTGGACTTTTGGGACGCATGGTGACTCTAATGGAGGCACAGCAGGAAAACAAGCCATAGACATGCACACTCAATTCATGTTTGCGCACAGAGTTAAAGCTAAACTGAAATTGATTCTGTGTATGTAACATTTTTAACGTGTTCCTCTGTTTTAAATGGTTATTTTGTATATTATAGAAGTCATGGAATTTCATAACTTGTTCTATCCCTGAAATTGCTTTTGTTTTTTCTTTACAACACCATCATCTTTGTTCATATGGAAGTAGTGTTGCAAACAAAATTTGTCTCCTACAAAAGTGGATTATTTTGGCATTCTGAGGTCTTGTCCACACTAACACTGATATTTTCATAACCTGACGTTTTTTGTATGTGGTTTTCTGTTTGTCTACACACAAATGCAGTATCAGGTTACTGAAACCAAAACCCGTTGAAAACTCTAGCCAGGGTGAAGATATTAAGAAACTTTGGTAACTGTGTGGTCATTTGGCCAGTGAACAATGTTGCAACAGCGTGTGCAACTTCTCAACTTTTGTTTGACAACAGGTTATGCAGCTCTTTGTACTTTTTCAGGAATCTGATTGGCCAACATGGCCTTATTCTTAGTGTTAAATCACCATTTGATGGTTTGGCATGTTCTTAACATGAGATTGGGCTGCTGTATGCAAGTTTTAGACTCTTCTAAAGCATAAAAATACCATGTGTTCTGCAGATATGTAAGGAGCATGTTAAGTGAACATATTTGTCTGAAAAACAATGCTATTGTCAGTTTACTTTAATTATTAGTCTTTGTTTTTGGTCTCTATAACCTGCCCACTGCCAATTTACCCAATTATATTACAGCACTCTGGATTGCCTTGGTGGAAAACACCATAGTCCATTTGTCTTGAAGGCCGCATCAGTGTATGTAGTTAACAATGCAGCCTCATTGGTGGTGAACAGCAGCAGCCTCTGAAATGAGGCGCAGATTCAGAGTTATGAAAGTCAATTGCAAATAATATATTACAACCACAAACATTAGCTGAGCAGCATATATTTTAATGGTGCCAAGACTCAAGAGACACGCAAATTTACTGTCTGACCAGATGACAGAAACATTTAAATACAGCTGTTCAGAAGAACAGAATAGTGCATTGCACTTCAGCAAAATGTTTCAGAATCTAATTAATACATACTAAACCTCTTTAACATTATTAAAAGTACATGCTGAGTGACTGATATTTGTTGGTTTGCACTGTCCCACAGTTCTAACATTCATCCTAGGTAAACTATCTGCTACTGTCTTCAATATGGCAATAAATGTCATGTAAAATGGCATTCACACTCGCATTGGTAGCATTTAACACTGAAAAATAAACACAATCAGTACCTGAGGTGATCCATGTCATAGTAATAAACGGCAATGTCATGGATCACCTCAGGTACTGATTGTGCTTTTTTCAGCCACGAGAAATAAAAAACATTTCTAAATTAAAAAATTGTGTTGCTCGCTTGGATGTAGCCATGTATCTGAATCTAAACAACCTGCGTTTGCCTGGCATTGTCAGAGAGGGGGCTGGGTAAAAAAAAAAAAAAAGTGTTTCGATTTTGAATTGCAATACCAAGTTAAACCACTGGGCGTCAATCTGACATACTGCACCTTTATATAAAAAGACAAGGGAAAAAACTTCAATAAAAATATCAGTGTACAAGTGGACTTCACCTCATACACAAAATATGGACACCCTGTGATTTGCTCCTATAAAAACATTTTATCTGCCAGGTGTGAAAGTAAAGCTTCTCTAGTGAATAAACCATTAATTGTTTTTAACAAACGTGCTTTTCTTTTTTGTTGCAAACTTTCTGTGATTAAAATAATAGTGAGAGCCTATTTTTGAACCCTTACATGTAAAATAGCATCTCTCGATAGAACACCATCAAACCTATCATGGTGTCAAACGCTTCAGTCCTATAGCATTTAGCAGTTCCAACCCTGCTTTAACAACACAAACCCGACTTACAATGCCATTTTTAATAATTTGAAGACGGTTGTAGCATGTCAGACTGTAAAATCTCAGTTGTTATGTCAGACTGAACAACAATCAAGACACAAGAAAACTCACCCGGAGTTTGACGTCGTTCATCGTTCAGCCACACTTTTACGATCCCATGTTCTGAAATGATACCTCACGGCAAACATAAACAAACTGTAACTAATTTTGCTCACAGAAAAAAACGGGTTGTCGTTCTGCATTTCCCCACGCTGATTTGAAGTTGAAGGCTTGATTGCCAATGATGTGCCAGCCCTGTTAATTATTAATGTGCTTCTCCTGAAATTAGCTAAAAAACTTCACTTAAGCTGCGGTCACACTGGGCTTTTCCTCCCATAGACTTCCATTCATACGCACACAAACGTGTCAGACCGGAAACGCAGTATCGTGCTTAGAGTTTCGCAGGTTGCTGCGGTTCAAAGTTGGTGAACTCTGACCTGCAAAATTGCATCACTTGACTGCGCGAGACCAATCGAGGGTCAAAACATGACCTCTCTGGACAGAAATTTAAAACATGGAGCAATCGCTCGCTTATTTAAATGTCTAATAAGCTTGTTTACTCCCACCCTTTTTCGCAGCGCCACATATCAGAATTTCGCACACACAAACTCTAGTGCAGGAGTGCTCAATCCTGTTCCTGGAGATCTACCTTCCTGCAGATTTCAGTTGCTACCCATATCAAACACACCTGCCTGTAATTATCAAGTGGTGTTCAGGTCCTAATTAATTGGTTCAGGTGTGTTTGATATGGGTAGCAACTGAAATCTGCAGGAAGGTAGATCTCCAGGAACAATATTGTGCACCCCTGCTCTAGTGTGACCGTAGCTTTACTGAGAGATTTCTGCTACTGTCTGGCCGTTCACTGCCTTTCTACACCTCCCTTTCTTCATGTGTTCAATACTTTCTGTTATTTCAGAGAGAAAGAAAGGTTTAACTCCTTTAAAACTCCTATGTCTTTTGTTGGGCAGAGGGAGACTAAGCAGTAAAACACAAGGCAGCTTGTTTTTGTTCTGCTTCTTTATAAGCTTCAGGATGTGTTGTCTGTAAGTGTTTATAATGGCTGCTTGTATTGTTGCCGTGTACAACTTTCCTATCACACATACTGCTTGCACAACGCTTTTTCAGCTAATGAGGCCCACAACACGCTACCTCTCTGCCATCGTGTCATTCCGTAATGCAGAAGTGTGTGACTTGCGTGTGCTGAATGTGTAAGTTATCTGAATGTGTATCTGAAGTTAGCTGAATGTGTAAGTTAACGCCGCAGATTGATTGGTGTAACGTCTTGTATACAAAGTGTCACTGACAATCCTGTACACAGCGCTAAAACATTTAGTAATGCAGAAATTATTAAAATATAGTAAAAATATCAACACTTAAAAAAAAAATATCGATACCAAATTAAAAGCTTCTGTGTATCTATATATCGATACACAGGAATCGATGTGCAAATCCCTAACGAGAGCCACGGAACCAAAAAAACTTGACATGTTCAATACATATTTTTCCTGCTGTATACTCCACACATCAATTATAAGAATATTCATAAAAAGATTCCACCAAGAATCCGAAAACCATAATAGCATTAAACTACTACTTGAATAATATCACTCTGTCTGATGAAGAAGTCTGATAATGCTTCTCGTACGTCCGTCCCCTCTGGTTGTCCATTCTCTATAAATTCCTGAACAGGGGGCTGCAAGTTCAGATGGTCAGTTGAATGGTCCTCTGAAAACTGGGTTCCTTTTTCCTCACAGATATTGTGTAGCACGCAGCAGGTCAAAGCCATCTTCTTCACCAGCTCCACTTTACAGTCATTTCTCCTGAAGAGACACTGCCATCGTGCCTTTAGCTTCTTGAAACTCAGATCCGAAACCGATCTGGCGCTACTCAACCTGGAGTTGAAGCTTTCCTGCTGCGGGGTCAGTCCACCAATATCGGGAAACGGCTTCATCAACCAGTTCTGCAAGGGATAAGCTGAATCTCCAATTAGGTAGTATCCAACATCACAACCGGAGATGTCTACTTTGTTGTGGTTCAGCAAGTCTCTTTCACTCAACAAACTCCATAAATAAGACTGTCGTAGGACCCTTGCATCACTTAGGTTTCCAGAAAAACCAACGCATAAATCCCAGAAGAGCCCGTTCCCGTCTACTACTGCTTGGAGTACCACCGAATGCCAGCCTTTTCGGTTAAGATAGCCACGAGGGTTTTTTTCAGGCGCTATTATTGGGATGTGGTGTGCATCAATTGAGCCAATACACTGTGGTACGTTCCAGCAATTCTCGAAGACGTCTGCCATCTCCTTCAGCTTTTCGGGACTTGGAAATTTCATGTGCACGGGCACAAGAATTTTAATGACGGCACTGCAGAAGTCCTGCACACAGTTGAACACAGTGCTCACACCAACCCCGAAAAGCTGACTGACATATCGATACTCGCTGCCAGTGGCGAGCTTGCAGAGCGCAATGGCAACTCGTTTCTTTACAGGTACGCTCAAGCGGAAATTGGTGTCTTTTCGTTCAAGCATATGTCTGAGGCGGCGGCATATGTACTCGAAAGACTCCCGCGAGACTCGGAAATTCTGGATGAACTCTTCTGGAGTGAATTCAGGCACAATGACGTCCCACCAGCGGTGCTCTCGCGGATGTGACCACACAGTTGCCGTCCGTCTTCTCATCAACACCAAGGCTATCTGTAAGGAAAACAAAGGTGTATGGATTTAATGTAATGGAAACATTCAGCTGTCTTTCTGTTGTGAGACAACAAACAAAGCCTCAAGTGTGTTGTACATATGTTATACTTAAGACTTTAAGTATTATGTTTCGAGTTAATTTACACACCCTCAGACCATACCTGTCATCTCTCCCGTTTTTCCTGGGATTCTCCCGTATTTTTTACTGTATTTTATGCGCCCGAAATTTTATCAATGCGACCTTAAAATATATTTGGAAGCATTTCTGCGAGTGCTTAAAATTGTTGTGTGCAACCAATTTTTACTGCAAAATGTTCACCACATGCGCGGATTCGGGAGTCATTCACGCAGAATGCATCTCTAAGCTCTTTATCTGCACTTGAAACGGGAAACGCAGCACTCAGGAATGGTTTAAAACAGTTGTCATGTCAACTTGCTGCAGTAAACAAAGCCAATCCGTAATGCTTGCCCCGCCTTCACGCTCTTCTTACTGGCCCCCTGCTCTAACACTGAACGCGAATGATTGGTTAATATCAGCTGTCAATCACTCAGACAGCGCCTTCTTGCTTGGGATGACAGAGAGAGCTACTACCACAAAAAACTAAAGCGCTGAAGATGAGAATGAAGATAACGCTGACAGATTTAGTTTTAGAAACCATGGCATCTAAAGTTATAAATAATGACTCATCTTACTAGTGACCATGTGCTGAATGTTAATCCACCATCTACACTTTTCCAAGAGTGGATAAAAGACTACCATTGGCTTCAAGTCTGCTATGAAAAGTCTGTGGGATGGAGTTTTCAGGTAACTGTTTGCCACATCTAGCACGAGAGCTTCTGTTTAATCCTTCATATAATCGCCAGATGCTGTCCGCCGTGCAAGGGGCAGCTATATGTCAAATTTAACACCACGTACACCATCACAAACAGGCTTACACTGAGTAAACTAATATCACTAACGTTACTAATGAAAAGACCGGTATTGCTATTAACATGACGTATGCATATAATAAGGTACAGTATATGTCAAAAGCACAGTTATACCGTTAACAGATTCATTCAAGCAGTGCGGTCAGGGCCGATGAGCGCTCCGTGTATGCTTTAGTCACTCAGTTATGTTTTAAAATGTATTTTCTTGTGAGAACGGGATTTTGTTGAGACATATTTTTCTTACGCTTGCATATATAGATTTGTTTTGCTTGTTAGTTTGATTACTGTTGAATTCAAATGCAATAAATATGTTTGTATAAAACGTGTAGCGTTGCTCATAATTGGTGGGTGCGACTAAATTTTGGCTGATGAGCCTAAATTTTTAAAGTTAGGAGCACCGGTGCTACCAAGCAAAAAGGTTAATTTCGAGCCCTGCTTGACCTTCTTTGCTTTTAGGAACTTTAATGTGGAGGCTAAAGTATGAGAAGGAGCGCTATCTTGCTGAAGAATTTGCCCTCTCCTGTGGTTTGTAATGTTATGGGCAGCACAAATGTCTTGATATCTCAGGCCGTTGATGCTGCCATCTACTCTGCAGATCTCTCGCACGTCCCCATACTGAATGTAACCCCAAACCATAATTTTTCCTTCACCAAACCTGACTGATTTCTCTGAGAATCTTGGGTCCATGTGGGTTCCAGTAGGTCTTCTTCAGTATTTGTTATGATTGGGATGCAATTCAACAAATGATTCATCTGAATAAATAAAAAATAAAAATTTACATTCTGCCACTTTTACAAATGATCAACTAGAAGTTATAATTTGTTGCTCTTACAACTGGGATCGACGATAAGACTTTTGTCAGGTAATGTATAGTTATGAACACAATAAGTTACTATTATTAAAACAAAGTTTTAAAAACGGAATCCAAACACAAAAACAATTATTATTACATTATTAATGCACAAAAATACATATTTTGACAAAGGAAAAGCCTTGTTTTTTTGTCTCTGTATTTAGCCTAGCTGAAGATTTGAAATATATTTTCACTTAGTCTTAGAATTAATGGAGGGTTTTTAATTCATTAATTTGCATATGTAAATAAGGTTTAATTAGCACACATTCAGAATTATGTGGATTTAACATCATTAAAGCCACAAATTCGTACAGAGACTATTTAATTCATTGGATTATTTTTGTATCATTCTTTTTAACCATCCTCTGGCCAAAACAGAATATATGACTAACACATGACTATTTTGTGATTTCCCGCTCCGTTTTTTGCATGTTATATATTTATTCGTATTTTAGCTTAACAGTCAAGAATCGCATTGTAAAATCCCCAGTGTTCCAGCACGTGTAGTTGAGAATCCTGCACGTTCATAATGCATATAATCAAATAAATGCTTACTTGTCGTCTTGTGCGTAGACGTTGTCTGTGACATTGTCTTTGAACTGCGTGAAGTCGTTGAATTAAATTACTTTGTATGTTAATATACGTTCTCAAAACGAGAAGGCAGACCTGCAAACAACGAGCGTAGTGCGCCATGTTTGTTTATGGGCGGTTACGTCGTCGCGTGTAAGATTACGTCATTGCCTTGCTCTCCCAAATCTGCTAACATTGATATAGGTATCACAAGAAAAGTGATGGATTCTTGGATTATTATGATAAATATTATCGAAATATCACGGATACATAAGTCCTTCTTTGCTTTTGCTGTATTTGTGTTATGTATGTATCTCTGGTTAAGTTTTTCCTTTACATTTTCTCTCTTTTGTTTCTCTTTTTATTTATTATTTTTATATGTTTATATTATTTAACATGATCTGTCATTATCATTGTTACTATCATTGTGTTTTTTGCGTAAAATTGGATTTTGTATGTTTGTTATTGAAGTCAATAATAAAAAAAAATAATAAATGAAGAAAAAAACATTGATATAGGTTTTCTCTTGGTGCTATTAATACTACCACTACTACTACTACTACTACTAATATATATTATATTTTACTATGTATAAAAGAATCTTTGTATAGCCCTAAAATATGTTTGGTTGGTAATAAGTGAGAAACTTTGATACTAGGTTAGATAGATCAAATAGCCTTCAAACGAATATATTGTATATAATAATGTAGGCTATAAAGGCTTGTTTTGTTTTTGGATAAAAAAAGAGTGGTTTCCTTTGGGGTCTGTTTTATATCTAAATGTTTTAGGTATGCTTACATACTTTCACATAATATATGGCACCTCCTTCATTTTACCACTAGAGGACAGCAACACGCCGTCTCTCATTTGAAACAAATTAGCCTACAAAATATATTGTAGTTTTCTTGTATTTGATGTAAAGCTAGGTCTGACCCAATATAACTATGGGATTAAATAAAAATAAACCTTGTAAGCACAAATTAAATTTGTACGAGTCATTGACAACTTTTTAAATAAAAGCTGTTACTTGGTTTATTGTTTGACAGTAGCATTTCTGCACTTTTGCTGTCCGTGATGTTCATGTTAAGTTTGTTATGAAGGAATGAACCTTGAGAAAAAGGTGTGGATGGTCACAGGTGACTATCATTACTGATAATTATCATCCGTCTGCACCTGCTGCCATGCACTCATTAAGTCTCTATATGCAAATGAGACTTTGTTTTGCTGCCCAGTAAAAGAAGTCCTCCGTGCTATTAGGATGATTTTAATTAGGTTAATGAACAACCAGCATGTCAAGACTGGTCGAAGAATGAGCAGCTTGCAACTTTTACCACGATGCAGGATAGGCTACGGTTTTTGCTTTGTAAAATTTAGCACTATCATCTATCTATCTATCTATCTATCTATCTGTCTGTCTGTCTGTCTGTCTGTCTGTCTGTCTGTCTGTCTGTCTGTCTGTCTGTCTGTCTGTCTGTCTGTCTGTCTGTCTGAAAGCGGAGTATGCACATTAAAGGTTGTATAATGATCAATATAAACAGAATGCAGCCCGCGGTTGTTACTAGAAGGGATACATCTGCGCCCGGAAGTTAACAAAAATTATTTACATTATTTATTTATTAAAATACCCCCGTCAACCTCAAACCTTGCCCTCACAGTAATGTAAAAACATATAATGTAATTATTACTTTAATAAATAAAATGAATAGTTCTTGTTATAATTATTGCTTTCACTTTACTTTGAGGGAGGGTTTAGGGGTTGGGGTAGACAATAAAATACAATGCAATGGGTACTTTAATAAATAATATATTTTTACAAATCTCATTATAGTTACTAATTTTAACGTCCAAACAAAAGTCAACACAGTATTGTAAAAATATAAATTATCATTGTACAGTGTCACAAAAATTATGCTATGGTGATGTGTGAGTATCTGCAGCTGTATCTCTTCTAGACATGAATAGACTCCGGCACAATATTAGTTAGAATTTGTGACACGGCATGACTTCAGAATAGGAAAATGATCTTACATTTTTTTGATGGGTTATTTTCACAATTTATTATGGAAAAGCACTCAAAATAAGACAAATAAACTCATGTATGGGACTCTGGACCTTTGTCCAGGGGTGGGTCTTTCAAACAGCCCAAACCCACTTTGGCTACTGGCCTGTACTAGTATTTTGAAAAATACTAGTAAAATATTATTTACTGTTTTCATAGTAAAGATAAAAGAAACCAGTTCTGAGAAATGAGTTATTAAAACTATTATGTTTAGAAATGTGTTAAAATCTTCTATCCGTTACAGAAATTGGGAAATAAATATACAGGAGGGCTAATAATTAAGGAAGGAAAAATTCCGACTTCAACTGTATATACATATTCGTCTATGCAAAAAAAAATTGTAAACACAAGACACTAGATGGCAGTTTTGATGTGTGTGTGTGCAGAGGAGAGAGAGTGCGCAAGCAAGTGTCCTGGCAGAGAAGGGTCTCGTCTTGAAGGTTTGTACCCGGAGACTCTGCAGCCTTTAGAAACATGTGGAAGCAATTCCTTTGTTTTCCAGCCAGAGTGAACGAACGGGCAGAGAGAGCAGACTGGACTGCTGCATGTCAAGAGGCCTTAGGATCAGGTTACTGTGACAACCCTGACATGAAGAGTGTGTGCGTGTGTGTGTGTGTGTGTGTGTGTGTGTGTGTGTGTGTGTGTGTGTGTGTGTGTGTGTGTGTGTGTGTGTGTGTGTGTGTGTGTGTGTGTGTGTGTGTGTGTGAGCGCTGCTGGGTAAGTGGTTCGGCTCAGGGAAAACTGATCCCCTCTGGTAGATTCTGGTCCTTTTCAGAGTTGGTGATCTGTTTGTGTGAAGTCAGGCCAAAGAGGCAGAGTCACTGCGAGAGGACAAACCTTTCACCCTTTCCTCTGCTGCTCTCATCCATCACGCCTTTTTGACTCTGCCGACTTACAGAAGAATGAAATCATCAAAAAGGCAAATGTCCACTGTATATTTGTGATGTGACAGTGGGAATAATAGGAAATATAAGACGATGAAACTGGCTGGTCTTCTGAAATTGAAAGTTAATGGAGCCCAGGGTGGATTTAGTATTACTTTGTTGTTGTTTTTATTTTCTTCAATATACTTTTGTGCTTATTTCAACATTTTTAGTAATTTTGACATTGTCAGTTTTTTGTTTTATCTTATATTTTTACTTTATAGTAATGTACACAGCATATTATTGGATATATATTAGTGTGGGGTGGCATGGTGGCTCAGTGGTTAGCATTGTCACCTCACAGCAAGAAGGTTGCTGTGTATCGAGTCCCGGCTGGATCAGTTGGCATTTCTATGTGGAGTCTGCATGTTCTCCCCGTGTTGGCATGGGTTTCCTCCGGGTGGTTCGGTTTTCCCCACAGTCCAACACATCCAACATCAGTCCAAACATATCTTTACCCAGCAGTATTATATACATATTTATTTAATTATTTAATTTATTTGAATTCTTTTGCAGTTCCTAAATTAAAAGAAATATTTCTCCCAAAATCTGAAGTAAAATTTACAGCTATGGAAAAAAATAGACTGCTTTAATGATAATTTCCTCAGATTTAAAATTCGCTAAATTTAGATTTGGAAATACAGTTGGTCAGAATGCCAAATGTCTTAGTTATTACTGAAAATCATGGTTTTTCAGTATTCAATATTATTATTTGTTATAGAAATCACTGGTATTGTGTTATCAAAATAAATGTCATGAATATAAACAATAAATGTCTGAATATATATATATATATATATATATATATATATATATATATATATATATATATATATATATATATATGGTGCAAAAAAGAGTTTTTAAAATTGTTGCAAATTTATTACAAATAAAAAACATGAAACATCACATGAACATCAGTATTCACAGCCTTTGCTCAATACTTTGTTGATGCACCTTTGGCAGTAATTACAGCCTCAAGTTTTATTTTAATCTGATGAAACAAGCTTGGCTCACCTGTCTTTGGGAATTTTTGTCTATTCTTCTTTGCAGTACTTCTCAAGCTCTATCAGGTTGGATGGGAAGCGACTGAGTACAGCCATTTTCAGATCTCTCCAGAGATGTGCAATGGGATTTAGGTCTGGGCTCTGGCTGGGCCACTCAAAGACATTCACCTAGTTGTTGTGAAGCCACTCCATTGATATTTTGGTGTTGTGTTTTGGGTCATTGTCCTGCTGGAAGATGAACCGTCGCCCCAGTCTAAGGTCAAGAGCACTCTGAAGCAGGTTTTTATTCAGGATGTCTCTGTACATTGCTGCATTCATCTTTCCCTCTATCCTGACTAGTCTTCCAGTTCCTGCTGCTGAAAAACATCCCCACAGCATGATGCTGCCAGCACCATGCTTCACTGTAGGGATGGTATTAGCCTTGTGATGAGCGATGCTTGGTTTTCTCCAAACGTAATGCCTGGCATTTACTCCAAACAGTTCAATTTTAGTCTCATCAGACCAGAGAGTTTAGTTTCTTATGGTCTGAGAGTTCTCCAGATGCCTTTAGGCAATTGCAGGCGTGGAGTGACTTCCATCTGGCCACTCTACCATACAGGGCAGATTGGTGGATTGCTGCACAGATGGTTGTCCTTCTGTACGGTTTTCCTCTCTTCACAGAAGAATGCTGGAGCTCAGACAGAGTGACCATCGGGTTATTGATCACCTACCTGACTAAGGCCCTTCTGCCCCAATCACTCAGCTTAGATGGTCGGCCAGCTCTAGGAAGAGCAGCAGAGCAGCAGAAATTTTTCTGTAACCTTCCCCAGCCTTGTGCCTCGAGACAATCCTGTCTTTGAGGTCTACAGACAATTCCTTTGTCTTCATGCTTGGTTTGTGCTTTGACATGCACTGTCAACCCTGGGACCTTATATAGACAGGTGGAGCCTTTTCAAATCATGTCCAATCAACTGAATTGACAGGTGAATTCCAGTTAAGCTGCTAAAACATCTCAAGAATGATCAGTGGAAACAGAATGTACCTGAGCTCAATTTAGAGCTTCACGGCAAAGGCTGTGAATACTGATGTACATGTGATTTTTCAGGTTTTTATTTTTAATAAATTTGCAACAATTTCAAAAACTCTTTTTTTCACAAAGTCATCATGGGCTATTGTGTGGAGAATTTTGAGGATGAATTTAATCCA